TTAGAATGGAAAACTCTCGGAATCAATTCTTCAGAGGAGCAAGCTTAAAGCCATACAAATATGGACTTAAACATTGGCATTGATCTGTACATGTATTTGGGAGATCAGACAATGGCAATGAATAAGAAAAATTTCTCATTATTGGGTTCGGATGGATATAAAAATAAGGTGCATCTATTGTGTTGCGTGCAGTACTCATTTCTATTCCTAATTATTTTAGCGTTGAATAAAATATAAATGAATTGGTTAGGGGAACAATTTGCCAGTACAAAAGTAATAGCAGGGAATTGTGCTGTTGGTACTTGTAGTATGTAAAATACTATGTAGATTCATTGTTAGATGTGTAATTCTTTGCATTGTGAATTTACAGTTGACATTGTGCATTGGCATAGTTACTGTAAGTTTCGAAACTTATCTTCACATCCTTTTTATATACTCAATGCTTTTTGATGACTTTTACTTCTTGATGTTCAATAATTATGAATATATGAAATGAATCTTGGTATCAAGCCCAATATCAAATCAGACTTTTGGTTTAGCAAAGCGCTATTCATACTCTACTGTAAAAGAATGTACAAAACAATTCCAATTAGGAAGAGAGTGCTTTGAAGGTGAGCCATGCCAAGGAAAGCTTACTGGTTGGCTACTGTAGAAGTCAATATTATGAAAAAAGTTTTAAAAGAGAGACAACTAAAGACTAAGAATTTAGCAGTAAGATTGCTATATCAAAAACCACTGTCCAATGATCCTAAATAAGCATGGTTAGTACATGATATGTACTGAGACTTCTTTCTTCAGTTTAAAAAGAACAGTTATTTTTTTATTTCTTAAACTCTTTCTGTCCTATGTGAACTAAGAAAACCTCTTTTAGCAAACCCATTATGCATTCGGCCAATCCCAAAACAGGGCAGTTGGGTGATGAGGGATGGGGCCTGACATACCCAGACAGACCACTGAAAAATTCCTGGGGATTTTTTGACCTGTCCTGATTCAATCCTGGATCCCCAGAGTAATAGGATGCCACCTTGATTGTAAGACATTCAGCCATCCAGAAAAGAACAGTTAGTGAGATATTTCAGAGAATTTTTATGCCTTTGTGAAGGCTAAAAGAAAGAAGTAATTGATTCAATTGTTAGTAGGGATTAAACTATGGTTTTTTATCATGATCCTCTATCAAAAAGAGAATCAATTGAATGACGTCAAGGTTCTTCTGGTTCTTCAAGGCCCAGGAAAACAAAGATGATTCATTCTCAAAAGAAGATCACAACTACAATTTTTTGGGATTCTGAGAGGATTCTTATGAGTGATTTAAAATAATGCAATACCACCATCACTACAGAATATTATGTTTTTTTTTAATGCATCAGTTGAGTGATATTAAAAAAAGACATAGTAAGCTGTTTTGTAGTACGTTGTTTCAGGACAATGCACCATGCAGACATCAGTTCGTACAAAGGCTGCTATTCAAAAATGCAACATTCGACTAATTCGCTCACCTTACAGTGCTGGTCTGGCCAAAAGCAATTACTGTTTGCTCTGAAAATTGAAATTAGATTTGTAAGGAGGAAAAATTCAAGACTGATGAAATGAAGTCTCTAATTGAAGAGAAGGACTTGGACTATTTTTATAATGGTATAAAACTTTATTAAAGGATTGTAAGAAATATGTTTACAAACAAGGAAGCTATATCAAGAAATAATACAAAATATTTATTTTTCTCAAGTAAATTAGGTCAGGGCGGAACCTTTTGGCTCTTTGTAACTTGCGTATAAAACACGAGGAAAAAGTAGAGAAGACAAGGTAATTCAGAAGTAATCTGTTGCGTGTACAAATATCACTTATGTTTATGAAAATGTGTAATTTTTTTTGCACAAAAGTTGTCTTTACACAATTAATTCTACGAAAAGATTATGTTTTGTTTTCTCATTTACTTATTCTCGGTAAAAGCATCATCGTGTCACTGGATAAATATCCAGTGGCGCACACGTCGCCTTTATCGAGAAAACGTTTGTTTGGCATACATTAACTAGATGATTTCTTTGTTATTGATTAATTAAAAAATTACTAATACTAGTATAAAATTCATATACTTTCTATGTATTTTAAACACCTGTGACACTAATGGAGTATAATGGATACAAAGCATATTACTATGTAATACAGAAAAGGTTCTATTAAATATTTACATTTAAACAGCCAATTAATGAGAGTATATAGAATACATTATTTATATATACACAAGGTGAATTGTTAATGACTGCAATAACTCTTTAAGAGATCAGAAGGGAGATAAACTTAATCAAAGTTCCTATAACTTAAAATAATTTAGGAAATCAATAGAAATCTAACCGAGATCATAAACTTAAGTTTCCTCATTTCCAAGTATTGTTATTTACCAAAAAAACTAAAGTAATTGAAAATTTGAAAGGGAGAAAATGTAGAATATCGTAATCTTTAATTACCATTGCTTTACATTTTATTTTGCAGCTGTAATTTTTATGCTATTATTTATAATCTGTATTTTTCTATTATATTGTTATAGAGTAGTAGTTAAATTGTGGCTTATTTCATTCTTTTACATTTCTCAAAATAAACAAGTTATAAAAAAAATTCTAAGTGAGTTAAAGACCTATTTGGTGTAGTTCTTTTCATTGTTTAAATTAATGAAATTACAGTCAACCCCCTATAACACTGTTGATTATTCCGTTTTATATTAAAACAGAAAAATCAACAATGTTATAGGGGGGTCGACTGGTACATTAATTATCAGTTCTTTACTTATTTAATTTTCTAATTATTTTCATGACTTCATTGAGGACGATCCTTTTATAACATACAAAATTGAAGTTTTCAATATAATTTTTATAGCGTTTTGCAACCTTTCAAATATTCAAATTTATATTTAAAGTTTATTAGTCGGTATAATCTTTTAACGCAGGGTTGTGTCATGTATTTGCACTAGAAGTCTCGATGTATATTTTAATTAAACATTTTTATCTTATTTATACGGCGATTAGAGATTTCAGGAATGAATAAAATAATTACATTTTTAGCGCAATTTAGCCTTTAATGATTTTGTAAAATAAAACAAAATGCTATAAACTTTAAAAAATGTTTCTATCTCCTAACAGGAGAAGTTGAGGAAAGAAAGAAGAGGAGATTTATTAAAAACAATTATCTCATATAGAAACAGAATAAGCTAAAGAAAGAATATCTTCTTTCTCAGATTATGGTGTTGCTTTAAAACTCTGCCATCTTTCTCCTTCTCTTTCATGTTAAAGATAACCTGGAAGAGTGGGAGGAAAGTAAAGGAAGAGAGTTGACTTTCAATAAACTATCTTCTAGGTTATCTTTAATTTTGATGAGGGTTTATTGAAACCCGGCACCCTTCCTATAACTTCCTCCCTGATGACATCTTTCTCCCTCTTTCATTTTTTAAAAATTTTCTCTTTATAAAGATGGTTATTTTACTTTTTTGAGATAATTACGTCTTTAGTATTTAAAATGCTTAAAATTTTACCCGATTTCTATAATTTATATAATATATAATTATTTATTTTCTATGTTAAATTGTATATTAACAGTAGTTTGATTTTAGAACCATTTAAAGTAAAATCATATCGATTTGAGAAGTCAGTTGTTTCTTATTTTATGTTTTTCCCTGGTTTTATTGGGAAGAATGGAAAGAAAGAAATTGATTTGACATATATTTCAAACAGTAACTAAAATTAATGTGAAGAATAAAGGAAATGTCATCAAATGTGAAATTTATATCCCAATATTGTTATTTTTCTGATGTCAGTTTACGAATATAGGTTTAACACACATCATGCATTTTAATTTAAGTTTAACGTAGTTTATTGCATCCTGTAAAACTTACAAAAAAAAAATTTGTTAATTATTTCTTTATAATAATAGTGTTTAAGAATTTAATTAATTTTGTATACGCTTTAGAGATATGAAACTTGAATATTCCATAGTAAAAATACTTTAAAGTTATCCAGAAGGAAAAGTATATGTTTATTTTTACATTAAATAAACAATAATAAAAATCTGATTGATGATACATGTAAATTATGGTATTACTGCTAATAGGGCAAATACCTCTGTGAAAGAACTTGATGAATAGATCCATCCAAATAGGAATGTGATAGGAATTCTTATTGGTTCATTAACTTTCTTGAGAAGAGCATATAGTGACAGATGTTACATTTGCACTATTAGATTAGACTTCATAATTGATTCATTCCAGAGAATGTAATAAAATTATTGCTCATTTATTTTCTTATGTAACGAATCTGCGGAATCGATGCCGGCGCGCAAACGAAAATTCGGGCGTTTTCTTCGACCCTAGCTATCTTTTTAATTTGCGCTAATGCTTTGGCTTAAATCTGCGGCCGCCGATTAAGAGACCGCGTCGTCCGCCCCGCATAGGGCTTCCGAGTATCTCCGTAAAAGCATTTACGGATAGATTCTCTCGTTTCGTCGACAATCAGTTTTCCTTTATGTTCCTTCTTTCAAATTCACTCGGAATGGATAATGACATTTTCATTATCTGGCAGTTGATTGCTTTGGGGCAAGGGAGATTTCAAAGTGGAAATGACAGATTGCCATTATAAGTGATAGGTAAATGTGCAACATTGAGTTATATTTATTACATTAGACACATGTAAGATTTGTTTATCAAGGTGAATAAAGATATTTGTTTGTACATTAATCTTTTAATTTTTATCTGTCGAGCATTGTTTTATTTATTTAATTGAATTTTTTAAATATATTTTTACATACATTTCATATAAAATTTAGTGTAGTATGAATGTTTACGTGCATACAGTCTGATGATATTCAACTATATTTTAAATCCCTTGCATAAATCCTCAAGAAAGAGTTTTCTAACTTGTATATTGAGATGTAATTTTTAATATAATTAATTATGTAATTAAATTATTATTTATTTCTTTTTTTATAATTTTTTTTAAAACACTCTCTTCTTACAGTAGATTTACTCCACACATTGGAAGCTGATACCACCACCACTTTTCCAATAGTACCTTTGCTTACCGTCATTCTGGCGCTGGTCGGTTAGTATTTATTTCGAAATACATTAACTTGAATAGTTATTAATTTTGAACGCCGTACTTTGAAAATTTATGAATGTTTTTAATTATTCAGGAACGGAAGCTATTATGTCAGAATTCTTTAATGACAACACGACGGCTTTTTACGTTATATTGATTGTGTGGATAGCGGATCAATACGATAGTATTTGTTGTCACACGAACATAACCAAGCGTTATTGGTTAAGGTAAGTTTTATTTTTGGGTTTCGGCCAATTACATTTTGAATAAGAGTTTATTCGACTCCGCTGCCGGGCCCATTAGACATTTAAACGGCTAACATTCAATTACTATTACTTTAATGAATTAAAGTGCCATAGAAGAGGGATTTCTGGTTGGGCTTATAAGTAAGAACAAATATTTCATGGTAAGATATGAAAGGAAAGTATTTAAAATTATGATATATTATTGTAAATAAGTGCAAGTTTAGTTAAAAATACAAAAAATTTTTGTCTCAGTTTGATGTTAGGTTTGCACCTTTATCTCACCTTAAAAAGTTTTTACTAATTTACACAAATAAAGACAGTCAGTTGGTTCAATTAGGATGAATTTCTCTTAATTTTTTCCACTGGATAGCGACACTGGGTCTGTCGACTCTATTAACCTCTATTGGGTCAAAGCAGTAATGGAGAAGGTAATATCCATTGGTCACAATAAACAACCACACCATTCGTTTCCTTTACAAGACCGATAGCCTGCAAACATAGACTTTTAGGCAATCGGTTAATACTAATCTAGCGTCCAGAGATACCAATCTCCTCTTTGAAAGGAGACTCGCCGGGCGCATTTTTGTCCGAGTATTGACAATTAGTTCAATTAATCGATGGGAAACATACGGTTTCTGATAAGAAATATAGTAAGTTAAGTGTAATATTTTGAAACGCTATGTATGCATTTTGCTTCATTTGCCGTTGATAAAATACATAAAATTTGGTGCTGTTGTGTATTATCAATAAGCTAATTGGCACCAGATCTAACAGAAGTTGGGCCATTATATTTCTTTCTAATTTAAATGAGGTATTTTGTGAACGGAGAAAGAAAAAAGTTAAGTATAATTCACCGATCAATTGATGCAATTAATTAGACAGAAATAGATGCATGTTTAGCTAGAAATGCATTGAAATTGTTACCATTTAATCTGTTATGATGCTTGCAAATTAATACATCTACAGTGGTTTTCAGTGGAACAATGTTTAAAATGATACTTTAAATAATTATAAACTGAATTCCTACTTGGCCATTTGCAAAATATTCAGATTTCAGTCCTCAGAAGTGAATCTTTCCCCGAAAATGGGAAGGTATAATTTAATTTGCAGCCTTTTTCCAAGCTCTCTAATTCCAGCAAGTAACAGGCAGGGAGATGCAATTAAGAGAATGCTATGATTAGATTGACACAATTTCAAGATCAGTATCAGTTTTACTTAATATATCCGAGAGGAAATCTTTAATATAAATACTTGGACTTAGAGAGAGGATATTGAAAATTTGTTGGAAGTAAACCGTTCTACTTAACGTTGATAAATTTGTAGCTAGATTGATTATAAAAGAGATGCGCCTCCAGTAAATAGTATTAAGGTGGATGAGTTTTCCGTAGATAGGAAGAAAAAATTATGGGAGACTTCGGAATTTAGAAAGAGGGAAGGAGAAAGAAGAAGAAGAAAAAAAACCGGCACCCCTGTTAGCGGGCGTGCGAGAAAAAAGGATTTTGTCGGGTTCCGTTGCGGGGTATATCGCTTCTCAGCGCACATTACCGTATTTACGCCAAGTCCGAGGATGTAAAGCGAAAGGAAAATAACTCATTTTCTCTTTTGGCTACGGGCAAAACGTTTTTTCCCGTTGTTCTTAATCATTTAAGAAGGGGAGGAAAAGGCGCGACGGGCGTTTTTACTCACTTGAAATATTCATGGACGGAAATATCGAATGCTTCGGAATCAAAATGCAGAGCGCTCGAATTAAATGTGACGCGGAGGACTTGGAGGAACGGAAGGGGAGAATGCCATTAGTGGCTCGTTCCATTAAAGATCCGGATGGAAATTCGGACCGTTTCTCCCTCTCCGGGGCGGGCCGTAAACGGGGGGGAGGGACGGCAGCGGAAGGGAAACGCCACTTTTAAGGCACGCGGAGCATTTTGCGCCGGGTTAATTCGGGGGATTTGTCGAGATCCGACGTCTACCGGAAGGGGGAGCGACGGGGAACGTGGCGAGTGGACGAACGGTCCCCGGGTCAAGCGGAATTGTCGCGGCTCAGACGGTTATTTGATCACAAATGACGTCAGAGCGTCGGACACAGTTTATTCCCATTAGGCGCTTAGTCGGCTCCGTATTACGGCACGTCAGGCTCTAATGGAAAAAGATGGCATCGTTTGTTTCGTTATCCAAAGAAACAGATTAAGTCGACTAACCCGATGATTCACTCGACGTTTCCGCTACAGATCCTCTTAATCGCCCGGACGGTCGCCATTTTGTCCTTCTCTTTGTTCTCTGTTTACTCCCCGACGACGTCCGGGGTAAACAGACCGGCACCCGCTAATTTTCTCCCTATTGTTGACCCGGTGAAAGGCCGTTCGGGGCGTAGCTCCTCTTCCATTCCCGACGGAACCTCCCTTTAATAGCGCGCCCTTTCTCCCCCTTTGCGGTTCGAGAATCCGCGTAATGCCCCTTCCTAATCAACGTTTGTTCGAGTGCGAATGCCGATGCAAATTGTAACTTCCTCGAAGGAGTTGGAACTTTGTTTCCTCCCTTCGGATCTCGAGTCGAATCGTATCCGATCTCCTCTAACGGAGGAGATCCAACCCTGGAGAATGGTAGAAATTCCATGGAATCTTAGCAGATTGTTGTAAACAACAGGATCGGATTTACAAGGATCTAGATTTAGAGCAGGCCAAATTAACAGGAAGACTTTTTTCCGGTTTTAGTCCCTGATAAACGAGAAAATTTCATAATTTAAAACCGTGTTTGAAAATGATGAGGATTTTAGGTAGTTTGGAATAGGAAGTGGGGCAAACGGTGCGAGCGAGAGGGCGCGGAACAGGTTATTACATTTGGTATATCGTTGCCGTTGCGGTGGGTGAAAAGAGAAAGCGAAGAGGAGGCGCAGCACATTCATCTCCGGACAGAAAACAGGCTGTCAGGAGGAGGAGAAATAAAAGCGGCAGAAATGGGAGAAACCTTATTTACAAAGTAACAGGTCTGCGCGCGTCGGCGGGGGCCCCTCGCAACTTTACGGCGCTGCACATCCAATATAGTCCCCGCGGAGTGCAGAAATATGTCGAGACGATGGACCGGCCTCGCAACCCGCCGAGACATAAAGTATTTATTGGTGGGGACATCGTCCACGAAACTCTATCCACCGTCACCCGCTAATAACGATTTACTAGGCGCATCTCGGGACAATTACGCGGACGTGTCTGGCCTCGATGATATAGTGCGGCAGGTAACGTCCGCTACTTCTAAATCACTTAGCCTCTCCCCCGTTTTCTCTTCCTTTTCACTTTCTCTCTCTCTCGCAGGTTCTTCTACTTGTACATGTACGCCTTCTACGCCTACAACTGCAGATTCAACGGGCACTACGGAGGACTGGCGTTGCTCACCTCTTGGTTCTTCGTTCAGGTAAGGCTCCCCCTCACCCCGTTACGCCGCTAATTGCTTCTGGAGATTGACTGACTCGTCCCGTCACCGGGGGACGTCGTAATTAGGCGTGGCGGATCTGTATTCATTAGGTGACACGTGTCAGTCAGGCCAGAGAGATTAGGACGGCTAATGTGACAAATGGATGGGTGTAAGGGCGTGTTTTTCTGTAATTCCCTCCGCCGTTACTCATCCGTCACCATATATCCTGTTTAAGCGAATCTCCTCTCCCCCCCTTTTGCAGCACGCCATGCTCTACTTCTTCCACCGGTACGAGCTTCCGGCCATCATCCAGGCCAGGGCCATTCAGCTTCCTCTACACAACATCATCCTCATCGGAAGGTTGATCGAACAGAGATTGAGGGACGATCGGCCCGCCGACGAACCTCGTCACGAACACTCAGTTCGAGAAGATCGGGAGCAGGAGAGGGATGCTGAGCCCCGTCCAACCCAACTTTAGTTCCAAGATTTATTTAAATAAAAAAGAAAAGTTCTGTACATCTTGTTGAAGAATAAAGATTATTCTCCTTGTTTATTATTATTATTATAAGTTCCTGTGAGGTCTTTTTTTGGTGGAACCCCCGTATTGAGTTGGTATTTATTTTAATACCCAATGTGGTTATGTCCATCGACCGGCATCGTCGTCACACAATGAATGCCCTCTCCCGTGTAGAACCGAGATGGGGAGACCCGTAATGCTTGTCAGGTGTATGCTCTATTAACAATCTACCTCGCGGATTATATATTATCTTTATCGTCTCTTCTGCAATCTGTGTAGCGCCCGCTCCGACAGCCGGTCCTTTTCCCATCCGGCGACATTCGTTCCCCCTCGCACGTCTTCCATTTCCGAAATCCGGGGTTCGAACCCGCTGCACACATCCTTTCCTCCCTCGGCGGGCGACTTTTTTTTTTTTTTTTTTTAACACCGGTCATCGATCGGGATCCGGTTATTAAGCGAGGAACCGGGGTCCTTCGCCACTTCGTGTCAACAAGGACCGGATCATGATGTTGACTCGAACAAACCGCCTCTAGTTCCCGCGCTTTCCGCTTGGGGGTTCCGACTGTCAGTCACCGGAATCAACGGAACGGATGAATAATTTTGGTAGAGTCGCTGCCCGGGTATGTAATGAAAATGCACGTTTTTGGCATGCGGCTCACGTCCTTCTATTAGGTCGCCCGAGCGAAGCTACCAAAGTGCAAACTCTGCTTGTTATTGGGCTTTTCCGCCGGGAATTGTCGGGCGCCTGCCAGATCACGTTCCTCTGTTGCATCGCTCGTGTGTCTTTGTTTCTGCGTTTCTCTGACCGACGAGAAGAAAAACAGAAAAAAATAAATAAATAAAATGCTAATTAAAACCTTCCCTCGTAGAAATCCAACAGAAAACATTTATTACTAAAGTAGCGTAAACACTACATGAAAGCTTTTCTGCACCATCCAAAATGTCTTCAGAGTAACTTTTCAGAGTTTCTACATTGTAAAACATTGTTTTCGTTTCGAATTTCTTATCGTGATGGACTTTTGGACTTCTCTCTTGTAGCTCTCTACCTCTATGGACTTCTCTTGTAGCTCTCTATCTCTATGTACTTCTCTTGTAGCTCTCTATCTCTATGTACTTCTCTTGTAGCTCTCTACCTCTATGGACTTCTCTTGTAGCTCTCTATCTCTATGGACTTCTCTTGTAACTTTTAAGAAACGTTTCTACATGCAAGACACTAATTTTGTTAGGATTTTCTTACTCTAATGGACTAAAATTCGTTCTAACTTAGAACATTTCACTTTAGCAATTTTTAATAAATGTTTGGAGAGGGGTGAAATTGGGTAGAATATTCGTTGTAGGTGGTGTTTTAACCGAATAATAATTATTTAGATGCAAAGCGATTATTTAGTCTGGAGTAAAACGAAGAAGTTAATCACTTAACGTTTAATTAACTGCGAGTTAATTAAGAGAGAGAGAACTGTCAGCTTTCTAATTGTTTCACATCACTATATCCCGCTGCTCCTTGCATTACATCCCGCTTTATGAGCATGCAATGACTTATTAACTGATTTTCAATTTTTGCCTTCCAAAATGCGAGGATGTGGACCAAATTTACGAGCGTACATCCTCCTTTAATTATCTACTTTCATTTAACGCATGTTAAGGCGAAATTTTCTCGTTGCGCTTAATTTTAAAGCGAGGAAAAGAGTCGCTAAAAACGGGATCTCGGCGAGAAACTTTTTTTTTTATTTTGGGAGGGTTGTAGACGGGAAAATGCCCTATCCCAATTTACAAATCGATATGCGATATCTATGGACAAAATCTGTATTGTGGGTGTGAGAAACTAGCATATGGCGAGCTTATCGTTAACCCAGCTGAACCACTCGTTATATCGCAACCGGTTGGGTTATCATCATACAGATCAACGATCCATTCGACCTTTGAACTCGGCTCTTATCTACAAGGGCTCTCCTAGAGATAAGATCTCTCTTCACGCTCTGCTCCATTCAGTGGGTAGATTAGATTGTCTGTTAATCGAGAAAATCTGCTGCCATGTGCCAAAGTGGCCCCTCGACACCTTTTAACTTTTTTTTGTGCCATCGTCACGGCTCTTAATTGAAGGGGTTACCCCTTTTTTTCCCAACTCGGACCAAGAGTTAACGAAGCCGAGCCGTGCAAGTGTGTTCAGTTGCTTGGTTACAGCACGTGGATTTATTCCTCATCGCCACACTCTGTGAATATTTATATAATTAAATAACTCCCGCCTTCCATTTAAAATTACACTAGTAATCAATAGTGGTTGTCCCGTGTCCCGCCTTATCATTATTGTCGGAAAAAATAACTTTTCTAATTGTCTCCCTGTCGGCCTCCTGAAGGACGTTTCTTAATGATCTTCCTGCTCGAAATAAGTTTCCTTATCTACAATTAGGTGAGGCGATGACGTAATTAACGTCTCAGAATATGCATTATTATAGTGAAGTTCTGGTCGGAGGTATCCTCATCCTCTCTTCGTCTCTACTCTCGAATTCGATAATATTTCATCCTTTTCTCCTCGTGTCTAGTACGAGCCAGTGTGAGATGATGAGCTGTCATAGAGACATAACCAACTGTCATGAATAAACCAATCTTTCTGGAGTTTATGAACTGCGAGGAACGTAAACCTCAACTGTTTCGTTATTCCGAAGGAACAATGTAGCGAGGTCTCCGAAAACCATTATGACAATGATGTAGTTGATATACGTTATGTTGTAGAATAGTTTACGTATGTATCGGTTTCGAATTGCTGGAGGAATGTAATCATAACTATATTTAAGTGCTACTTGTTCCTAATTTTAATTAGGAACAATAAATGTTCCTGTATAAGATTAGGCACATGTAACTAGGAATCAAATATTCAATGGACGATTATTCTTAATTGTGAGAGTATAGACAACACCTTAAGAAAATTATGGTGGTGTGGTTCTTTATTTCTTACCACCAGTGTTTAGATTTTTTAATATTTTTAATATTTAAAAAGTCCTTACGTCAGCATTTTTATACAGTTTGCTTTGGATCGTTGACATACAGTACTTCCATTATGGAATTCGAAGCCAAAGGATATTAAAGATGTTGACGGAAAATTTAATTTAATTACGTAAAATTCCTTGTTTTGACCTTAATATCATAATCAGACCTATACGAAGTATCGTATATTGTTTTTACTTCAATAAGCTAGGTAAGATATTGATAATTAGTGGCTAAAAATGACCTCATAAGTTAAACATTTTGGATGCTTGTTCGGTATTTAAGCGTGATTAATCTGTAAACTGATAATTTCTCTTATGAAAAAGAGCGAACTTCACAATTTTTCCTCCCACCAGTGACCCAATGGACAAAACACTGACCATGGGTCTCAGAATATGCATTATTATAGTGAAGTTCTGGTCGGAGGAGGCTTGATCAACTGACTGGCCACGTGGGGTTTTCCGACTTTTCTCCACGTGTCTAACACCCAAATAGGGGCTGTGTTCTCGTAGAAAGTCCACGGGCGGCACCCCTTTGTGTTGCATTACCGTATTCCATCAAACCAATCCACAATTTTTCTCTCACTTTGCTAAGATCTGCCTAGAAAGAATTTGGTAATTAGTACGCTAAAATACGAACCTGCATAAATCTTAATGTTATATGTACGATACATTTTACCAATACGTAACGAGCCGTTATACAGAACGAAATGCCAACCCCTCATATATAAACCGCACGTTACGTTTCGTTTATCGGAGGGGGCGAAGAGCCACAACTGGTTTCCTCATTGTACGGAGAGTCCGGCTAGTTACAACGAGCGAGAACGATAATCCCAAAATCGGATCCCCGGCAGAAGTAAAATTAACGAGAATTCGCTTGCTCTTACGGGGTCACGAGGAGGGGAGCCAATGAGGCGTAACCTTTAATTAACACGCTGTCTTTCCGCCTCACCTTCTATATGTCGGGGGTTGTCATCGCCGATACGCTTGGCCTCTTCCGTCACGTGACGTGGCCGGCATTGGGAAGGAGCATCGATCTTAACCGTAAAAACTCCAGCTAAAGTCAGATTGGGGCGTGGGCGAATGTGTATTTATTTAATTAAAGCGCTCCTCCGCCCTCGTGGACGGAGCGGGAGGCCGATAGGCGTTTCATTAAGTCGGGTCCCATCGCTGTCATTACCTTATGGAAGGGGCAGTCGGTGCATCAATATTTGTTGCGGCCAACCAAAGTATTATTATTGGCGGACCGCCACTCTGCTAAATCATCGACTGTGTGTGTATGTGTGTGTCCCTAGGGGCAGTTCCCTCTGCTTGTCACAGACAGACACGCGACATGTCGACTGACTCGTTCACCCTTACGTCTTCATTAATTACAACTGATATTCTTATCATCTCGGGTCAAGATTTCTCGGAAATGCAATTCCCGCTTTTTTTTTATTCCACTGTTTAACCGTCCGTCTTTCACGTCACAGTTGATGTAAATATTACGTAATTGAAAGTGTATATAAGACGATATTCCTATAAAACTTTTGTATAAGCTTTATACCGCAGTGAAAATGTACTTTATTATTATTATTATTTTAAACTTTTAACACGCAATTTATCGACTACAGCCGCTAGATAATTCAAAATAAAAAGCCAAGTACTGCGCGTGTGTCATAATTCAAAATTTTGAAAATTCGTTTAACACGCATGCCTAATAATTCAAAATTACAGAAATAGCTTATTGCGCATGTCACAGATTATAAATTATATTTAAAAAAAGGCGTTATGTACGCATGTCAGAAAAATTCAAAATTAATTCCGGTAAGTTTTAATGGGAGATTTATGAACTAAATAGGAGTTCGAAAAGAACCGTTCCGGACTCGGAACTACGAGGAACAGTTCCACACCGAGTGTCCAGATATGTTTTATTAGTAATCAACAGATATGTCCCATCAAGAAAATGGCTAAACGTTACCCAAGTGTAGAGGGAAGAGTGGGGTGTCCGCATTTCGTAATAGTCTATATTTTCCACAGATTCCGAGTTTAAACAAGAATAATTTGGAGTAGATCGACCAAAAAAACAAAGAATAGAGAGAGGCAAACGTTTTATATCCTATGTAAAACTGATGAGGGACGGTCTAGTCCAATAGACTAAGCAATTCCGAGGAACACCCACCTAGCTTAACGGTTCCACACTCGGATCAGTTCCAACAGTTCCAGTTCCAGCAGAGGATCTGGATTTCCCACTTCTAGTGTACAGTACATCAAAACAAACTTTGAATTCTAGTTCTTAATAGGGTCTTAATTCCAAACCCTAAATCTGAGAAAAACCCCTCCAATTGAGAATTATTTATGTCTAAATATCTAAAATAAATGATGAAGGTAAGAAGTATTATTTCAAATTAATAAAAATTATGTATGTATTTTATGTATGTATTGTACAGTACATACTTTTTAGATTTTGAAAATAAAAGATTTATAAAGTTGTAATCTCTCTCCCACTCTGGCATCCCTCTCCAGACTCCTCAGGGATAAAATTTAAGGTGAAAAGTTCGTCTTAAACTATGAATTATCCATTTTATTATTAATTATTTTACTTGTTTTAATAAAAAGGAAGAATATGTGACTGAGTATTGTTCTAGAAGAAAGATGGACTTTGTTCTCGAAGTTTCCTTCTAGATATATCAGGAACATTGTAGAACTTTTGTCTGCCAGGTATATAAGCGAGGTCATCCTTCCAGATTACAGTCGACTTCCCCTATAACACTGTTGATTTTTCTGTTTTATATGAATTCCATGTTGTACGAGTCACTTAGATTTTACAAATACGTGAGCCGTTCACAGTCCGGCACACATATTTGTAAAATCTAAGTGACTGGTACAACATGGAATTCGCATAAAACGGAAAAATCAACAGTGTTATGGGGGGGGTCGACTGGTACTTCACAGAAAAATCTTAGTTACGCCACTGGTCTTCCATATTTTTTTAAAACCCTTCTCGATTGTATTCTCAAGAATAAGATATATAAAAATTCATGCAAGTTCAGATTTTTATGAGAAAATAAAATTTAAAAAAGAAGTACAGTACATACTGATACATCATTATAAAAAGTTTTATTATTTCATAACGACGACATACACCACCATATCAATGTTATTCTCGGGATTTCAAATGCGCCAGAGAAGATTTTTGACAATACCAGACTTAGCAGAAGATTTAGTTTTAAACTGTAATAAGTAGATTTACTAAACTACATTACGTTGTGATTTAAAGCGAATTGCCTTGTTACCAGGGATACTTTTTCTTTCAAGTTGCAACGACTTGGGCGTAACGTGTGCATCCAAATAACAAACGGATTGAGAAAAATGGGATAAGTGAGCCGGATCGCGGAAACCTGGAGGAAGTAATTTCGTCCGGTGGCTCCAAACAGTCTAATCTACAAGTCGAAATCCGTGTTTTGGACGTTTTAGACATCGCGTAAAGTAGTCGCTAATCGCTGGATCGGGTGGTTAATCCCTCAGGTTTGACAGAATGCCGTGACGTTAATCCAGCCTATTTAAAAAAAATCCGATCGGTCTAGGCTACCGGCTAGCACGGGGATTATCTGCACTCTTGCCTTTTTTTCTCCTTCCCGAATCCATTCTAATATAAAAGAAAATGATATTATAAGTAAGACTTTAATTAAAGAAAAATAAGATCTACGTTGTTCGTTAATAGGAATATCATAAAAGAGGAATAGTAGATCCTCTTTTAAACCACAGAATCGTCTCTTCAAAATCTGGTTACCTTTTGTTAACGTTGTTCTATCATTAACGTATCGAAAACGGTTCGTTTGTGGCGATAAATGGAAGCAACGAAGTGTTTAAATACCGCAAAAGCCACACCGAACACACAGCCGAGGGAGGGAGAGAAGCCAAAAAGCTTTCTCTCCTCCCCCACGAATATGAGGTATTCGGTAATGGACTAACGCGATTGCTTATTAATTGCGTTCCGAAATTAGATATATAAAGACCCGGTGTTGTTATATCGGATTTCGGTTCGGAAGTTATCAAATTCCATTATGACCAACAACCGCTTCATTAGTCGGGTGCAATCACGGAAACCGTTCATAAATCTGGATACGAGTATCCTCCATTTTTCTGTCATTAATCGTTCCGGTGTGACGTTTGCGGGAGTGAAGAAATTTTAAATAAGAGTTTAAATAGAAGTAAGATTTTCTTTTATTTTTATTACGAATAGAGTAATAAGTGAAAACGACTTGAAGTAAACCACCTCCTCCAACTGGTTTCCATGTAATAACTTGTGTATCGTTCCAATTTTATTGGGTATGTTAGAGCATGTATTTTTTATTGAGAAATCCGATGAGATAATATAGATCAGATAGCGTTATTAACCTAGCTACAAGATGGATAAACAGAGTTTCGCACTTTTTGGATTTAGTTTACCACTGGAAAATATCAAATTTGTACGCTTTTCGTTAATAATAACTACCGAAAAAAACTCCAGTACACATTATTATTATTATCAAAATGACAAAAAGCTGTAACGTAAACCTACTTTAAACAAAACAGAAGACAAACTTTAATTAACGGTGTCATTCGATATTATTCATTATGTAAAGGAGTTGAAAGTTTAATTTTTCATAGATTTTATAAGAATTTTTTTCTGTAGATTTTAAAAATAGAAACTCTTAGAATGTAAAATCATATATCAGGTTATATAAGTGTGTGTTCTTTTATTATTAGACCTATACTGTTACGTATTGTAAATTATCTATGATTGATAGAATCAAAATCTAGTTTCTCTGTCCCTTTACAGTTATGTTTTTTTTCCTTCCGAGATGCAAAAAAGTGCATTTTAGTAATTCTTAGAGAAACTCGTAAATCAATGTTTGTCCATTGGTAAGAAAAAAAAAAAATATGGAGAAATGCTTAAGATATAAAAATATGGCTCGGAATTCACAATAATAGACTCATAAATGTTATGTGAAAGTATTGGAATGCACCCCCAAACTGCGCTTTCAAATAAACGTCATTGCTGGTCAAGTTTATAGCCAGCTTGGTTGTCGAGCCTGTCTTCAAACGGTCGACACACTGTTTTATACTCACCCCTAGACAATAAGTAACTCGCCGATCACGGTTATAAAGTACTACATTCCGGAAGTTCAGCTTTGTCTAGGATTCGGCTCCCCCCTTTTTTTTCCGGATAAATAAGTAGAATGTTTCTTTATAGGTGTTGTCCGTCGCTAAATTGTCCCTTAATGGATTAACGCTATCCGCAAACCGTTTTACATCCCTAAAGCTGTCTTCCTGTGCCTCACTTAACATTGTACGATACGCGATACACGAGTTTGGAGAATTAATTGAATCGAATTTCCAACTGAAAAATTATAATATATTAAATAAGAATTATTATTCATTTTTGTAAGATTTTATCGATAAAATAATTACTAAAATATAAGAAAATCGAATTTTTCATTTTTAACCAGGGGTCGCTAGTAATTTGAAATTATTGGTTGATTCGAATCTAAGCTTAGCCAATCGGAAGTTACCGTTATTATATTCGAATTTAAACGATCCTATAGGAATAAGAATACCGTTAAAATGGAATTTAAACTTTCCAATGGGATTGTTATTATTGTTTTCGATCTGACGTAAGAGGGGCAGTGAGGAGTTTATAATTGTCACTTCCTATTAGATCGTTTTATTGTTATTACGAAAATAATTTATTAATAGAATAGGAGGGAAGGAAAACGAAGATAAATTAATTCGTGGATAGAATAAAATCCTATTAGAGACAGGTTTAAAAATGTATGGACGGATAGGGAAGGTTAATGTATAAATGCAGAATTTAATCTTATTATTTACCGAATTTCGCGTCATTAAAAGGTTTTTATCTAATACTTTCCCTCGGGTATAAAAGAGCGACGTACTGGATAGGTCGTGATGTTTTATTCAAGATTGTTTTTCGCATTTTAATATATAGAGGAAACAAAAAAAAAAAAAATATATACAGATAAATAAAAAGTTACAATTTTCCTCCCACCCGTCAATAGGCCTCACCTTAAAACCAGGTAATCGGAGTGTAATTATCTAAAAATAAACCGAGTTATCCTTTATCCGGTGTTAGACTTTTTTTTTTCCTTTTCTTTTCTGTTGAGAGATGGGGAAGGTTTGCAGAAAGGAGGTTTCCAAATGGAGGAAGCGTAGATTGTTGCAGTCAGTCCGTCCACTCGACTCCAATCTCGCTGGTGTTTTGTCCTGTGGGAATAGACAGCCTGCTGAAACATCAAAGTAAGCCAGGTCTTAGACCATCACCTCCTCGCGGGCAAGATTAGATCGGAGATAATGAGTAAACTGCATTAGTGGCACATCCGATGGAGACAAGACGATGCCAGGCAAACTTATCGTTCCAGATGCAAGTTTTAATAGATTCGAGAGCGCGCGGACGCCTCGCTTTACTAATAAATCAACAAATGTACCGTTTAATGCAGCCGTTAAGCAAATAAGATCTCCATATTTTCCACTCGAAGCATTTAGGAAGATTGCCACTAAAACGCGAACGGCACCGATTGAGAGGGAGCCGTAAATTCGGGGCGGAGCGGGGGGAGGTACGAAGAAGGAAAAGAAAAGAGAAGAGGGATTAGGGAGGAAGGAGGATCGTGGGAGGAGGAAAGAAGGAGAGATAAACGCGTCGGGAGTGTTAATATCGCGTCGTCGGTGCGCGCTAAGTCCTCGGGCGATGTTTGCCGGAGGAGGTCTAGGCCGCCTAATCTCCGTATAATTAAATTTAAATCTCTGGAGCCGCTCCACCACGGAACGCCGTTTGGCCCGGTCCATCCGCACAAACAAACAAGCGAGCCTTAATTTAGGGAGGCGGGCTTTAATCGCCAACCAAACAAAACGGGGGGAGGGAGAGATTCCGCATTCGACCTTAATCATCCTCCGCCGCCATTAAACAACACCACACATCAATCAATGGGCCATAATACGACCGCAAATTTATTTCTGCAAATTCGGAGACAGAAATTTTTTCTCATTTATTTATATATTTACATGGGGCCCGTCGCTTCTGGCCGTGTCGTCACCGCATCTAAAAATAAAAAAGTTTGTCTTTTAATAATTGTACGGAAGGATGGAACGGAGGAAGAAGAAGAAGAGGAGGAGGAGGAAAGAGAGAAAAGCTTATAAATTTATTAAAATGTATCTGGCCGCCTATAAAGGAAGATAAAGAAACGACCGATATTAAGGGCAGGCATCGATTGAAGTCTGGCACGGAACGGTGGGGTGTCAAATAAATATTGGTAATTTACCCGCTTCTACTTAATATCCCGGTTTTTGCCGGTTACATAAAACATCCGAAATACCCGGGGCCGTCCCGTCTGCTTCCCACTCCTCTCCTCTCTCTCTCTTACGCTTAATGCGGATTTTTGCCCAGGACCGGAGCGTCTCGTCCCCTAATGTTTCCTCCTACTCGCCATGGCTAGAGGCTGCGCGACGCGACCGCTTAACGGGGGGTGGTTCCCCGCCGCGCGGTCGATTCCGCCGACTCGTTCCAGACTCTAATGGAGACAACTGGTATTGGCAAGGCTCCTTATCGATCGGAGCGGCGACAGGAGACTCGGAGAGTTTCTCTCGTCCAACAAGTGGTAACCTGTTGAAAATATCCGAGACCGTATCTCTTTACAAGACGAACGGCGGGTGACCCCGAACGTACNTAGTTTTATCGCTAGATGGAGACTCTTTAACCTGTTTAAGGGAATCTTATTTGGACGGGTTTGTGCCTCTCGGGACGAGCGACTCTCTCTCTCTCTCTCTCACCCCTAACGAGTCCCGCGTCTGCACGAGATGCTTTCTTGTCTGATGTGTCAAAACATCCTGTGCCCGGCTTTCCTCTAATTCCCCGATAAAAAAGAAAAAAAAAACCCTCCACCCCGTTCGTTCCAACTTCTTCTTCTACCTTCTCTACGCGCGGCCTCTACGCGCGCCGCCGCCGCCGCCGTCGCCGCGCCGTTCCGTCTTTTAATCTCTCTCTCTCTCTCTCTCTCTCTCGTCTTTCTTCCTTTCGGAACCGACCTCCACTCGATTAAAACCCGTCCGCTCTTTCCCCAAGGCGTCTTTTCAACTTAATTAAACGGTTTTTGCCAGGCCGACGCCCTCCCCGGAGTTTAACAAGGTAGAAGTAACGTCGGGCCGCTGTTTGTCCGGCGATAACGTCGAATATATAGCGACGCTCGGAGATTTAAACCGCGAAAAAGTCAATCTAGCGTGAAGAGTTCGCTTCTTTTTTCTCGCTTGCCAAACCGGCAATACGGGAATATAAATGCGCTTGACAAATGCCGTCGCACTTAATCAACACCCGCTCCGCCATCTGTCGGCATCGAGCGGAAGCTGCTATAACGCCATTTAATATTAAATCTCTGGCTCTCTCTCTCTCTTTTTTTTTTTTTTTTTTTTTCAAAAAATATCGCCCCTCTCGTGACCACTTTACACAGCGCAACAGGGTGGTCGCCGCTGGAAATAAATTTCACAAACTTTTCCTTTTAAAAACTGTCTACTCTACGTAACCCGGGGGTTAAGTTTGAATATGATTAATGATTCGGACGTTTAAAACGCGCGGTTGGTCAAAAGTGTTTCCTTGTT